TAATTAAGAATTGTACAAAAAAAGGCTCAGGACTTTTTGACTCAATTTTTTATCAGGAGCTATATAATTAGTGGTCGTTACCCAGACAGCCATCTAGATCCTGACAACATTCGTACGATATCGCAAAAGTATGATGTGTACGTCGTCATGATATTCGAGATACATCAGTGATGTGCAGAGTATATTTTCAGAATCTACTATGTCCGCTTTGTCTCATCCCATAGTGCTTCGCTAAGAGATTTCAGTGATGTACCATAGATATCATAGAAAGTTATCAGTATGTCTCCAATATATCCTCATCAGTATATCTTCAATATATCTCCATAATATGTCTGCAATTTATCTGCAGTATATCACAGTATATCTCTAGTATATCATGTAGATATACGTATGTACACAGCCTCGCACGTACACATTTGCATATATATAATATACATTTATTAAAATAATAAGATGTTTTTTAACAATAATTCTTTAGACCGATTCTTTAACTAATATAGTCCATATATTCCAAATATATATATGTATATAAACTAATATTTTAAATATGTATATAAAATACTGGATTATGATTAGTTAAAAAATTGATCTAAAGAATTATTGTTAAAAAACATCTTATTATTTTAATAAATGTATTATATATATGCAAGTGTGTGCGTGCAAGGCTGTGTAAGATGCCAATTTCTAAAAATTGACATTAAAAATTTTTGGCCTGCATTAAATTAGGTTATAATTTAATTCTTTATATTATTTAACTTTATTTATTACAATTTAATGTACATACATTATTACGCATTATACATATTTTTGTCTGACAAACGATAAATGTTACCTTTGTTATTATACCTATTTTTTTAGATAATAACGAATTGCAGTATTAAAGACGACATTATATAGAAAAAAAATAAAATTGATAAAATATTTATAAAAAAAAAATGCAAAGCAATTTCTCTTTGTTTAAGAGTAATACAATAAAAAATTGAAATAGAAATGTAGGATACATAATATTAATTAAAACACATTTTTGGTCTTTTTTTGTCTTATAGTATTTGTAATTGTATCATTCATTTTTTTTTTGTTTTTCTCTTTCCACACGTTCCTTTGCGTGGGCTAACCATATTTTTAGCGGAGTAGAAATGTCTTCATCGGTTACACCAGCATGTGAATTTCTTAGGACACCTGTAACATTTTTACATTTCATTATTTCATTTTTTTAAATAAATATATAAAAATATTTTTATTAAAAAATAGCTGGTAATATGTAATTAAATTATAAAAGAAAATAGTTTCTCAATATATTTTACTTACTCATAATTACTTTGCATATGTGCAATTTTGAAAAATGTTCTTTTTTTTTAGCTCCATACCAGCTGTAGTGAATTGCCACCTCATTTGATAATGTTTGTTTCATTATATGCGAGCATGAAGCTCTCAAATCCTTACATGTAAAACGTGTCAATTGTTTAATCTAAAATTATTTTAAATAAATATTAATAGCAATTTTTCAAATATATACTTAATCTATATTTAATGTTTGAACAACTATTTCCTTAAAAGGATATCTCTAATTAAAAAAAAAAACATCATAGAATCTGCATAAAGAAACTTATATATTAAGTAAGTTCCTTTATGCAGATTCTATAAAATGTTGAACGGTTGAGAAGATAATAAATTTCATTATAATACAAGATATAATATTTAAAAAGTGATATAGAATACTTTTTTAAACAATTTATATTGCAGTTCTCTATCTTTTTATCTCGCTCTTTAAAATAAAATTACCCATTAGATCTTTAGCTACTATTCTCCTTTTTAAAAGACATTTCATAAAACTAAAATAAATATTTGACTTACCATTTCATTCCGATAAAATGCATTTTCTCTTAATTTGACTTCCATTAATTCTAATTCATTTTTATTTTTTAAGGGTAGATCTTGAAATATATCAATAACTTCCTTATTCTGTTCCGGTTGTGCCCTATTATTTGATATTTTCTGTTCCAAGAGTTTTATGTGCTTCTCAATACAACTTGTTTTTACATCTATTTTAATGAGTTTTTGGACAATAAATCGATTTATATCCTGAGATCCTACAAGCATTCAAAATATTTATAAATACACACATACAAAATAAAATTTTTACAAATTTTAATATCTAAAAAAAATCTAAAAATTATCTTTCTTTATTATATTACAATTTATCAGAATTTTTGTATAATTTCATAACTTTTTATTAAATATTTCAGAAGTGCTAAATAAATTTATATTTTTTCAAGTATTTATATGTGTAAATTCTAAAATATTTTAAGATCTTTTATATAATACCATAATTTCAAAAGAATATTTACAAAATCTAAAAAAGTGTAAAGTATTTTTTCAGAAATCTTTATAAAACAAAAATATTAAATACTTCAAAATATGAAAATATTATATACAACATTAATTTCATTTACGAGAGTAATCTGACTTAATGTGCTACATTACACCATTATATTTATTTTATCCACCTATAATAATTATTACAATATATATTTTATAATTTCATATATCTCTACGAAGTCGTACCAATGTATATTTCATTATTTATACATCGTTAAAACAAGGCGTTTTCCATAAAAAAAACATACATGACATAACAATGTGTCATTTCATTCTTGACAAATAAAAAGAATAAAATAATTCACTGCATTAATATCATATCAACTGCCTTTTGTTTGAAAATTTCCTTATAGAACAGAAATATTCATATGTAAATATAAAATATTTTGAAAAATTCGTCAGACCAAAAATATAAGGTAAATACAAATAAGAAAAATTTTACAAAATTATATCCAAATAAATAATAAAATAATTGTAAGATATATAAATAATTATAAACACATTAGAATTTATTTACACAGTAGAATTTACTGACCTTGTCTAGGATTCCACTTTAGATTTTGATTGTTTTCTAATATTGAATTAGAAGAATGACAAATTATGCTCTCATTACTGTCTTTATTAATCAGTATTTCAGCAATCAAATCTTCGGATTGTGCATCTAAAGTAATAAAGCAATGTTATTATTATTTTTCTAATATCTGACATGATATGCTATAAACATTTTACTTCTTTGATCAATACTAGATACTCGTTAGCTATATAGTAGAGCAACACAACTATAGAATTTTCGACGAGCCGAGTTGTGAAATTTGAGATTATATAATACAATAGACGGCAGAAACTAAATATAGCGAACTTATACATAAAAATAAAAGACAATTTTAGCTATGCACTAATATAATTCAGTTATTATTCATTTTGTCTGCAATTCAACTTGGACATCACAAGCCGCCAATTGCGTATGACTGCTATATAGAATAACAGTAAATCATTTTATTTGGTATTTGCCAAATATTAAACAAGGATAAAACACTGTGGTAATTGTTACTTGTTAGAAAAACTATTGTAGAAAATATTCACATAGATAAATTAAATTAAAAATTTTTTAAATATTTGTCGGGTTAAAAATATAAAAATAGATAAAAAATTAATATTATACTTGTTCCAAAATTAATAAAGCAAAAATATATAATTATACGATATATAATAATCTAAAGTATTTACTTGTATACTTATCATCTAATTGTTTAGAATTCAAGTTCGGTCCTGTCATATTGTTTTCACTTGGATAAAGAGTTTGAATGTTGTCATTACATATATCAATCGGACATCCATCGATCAAATGCAAAATTTCGGTATATTGTGTACCTAAAAGAAATAAATCAATCTTATAATTATTTTAATATAATTATAATTTTATTCTAAATTAGGACAGTCCAAAAATTAACTTGCGAACTGATTTCCTGTATATACATACTACTTGTTTCAAAATAAATAACGCGAATGTATAAAATAGTTCTAACATATATATAAAAGATAATTAAAAGTTGAATTTACTTGCATATTGACCTTGTTTAGAATTCAAGTTCGATTCTGTCACATTCCCACTTGAATGAAGAACATCATTCGAAAAATCAGTATTTGAATATATATTTTCGGTACATTGTGCATCTGAAAGCAATAAACCAATGTTATAATTATTATTCCAATATGATTATAATATTATTTTATTCTAAATCAAGCCTGTTAAAAACTTGCAAGTTAAATTAGTTTGTATATATACTATCTTTTTCGGAATCAATATAATGTTACCGTTAAAATCCATAATCCGTTAAGATCCAATGTCACTATAGTTAAAACTAGTTGTTTAAACTAGTTAAAACTCGATTTCATTAGTTTGAAGTAGTTGTTAAAATGAATTATGAGTTTTGACGGTAACAAATAAATATAATAATTTTAATATGTATAAAAAATAATCAAAAGTTGAATTTACTTGTATACTGACCTTCTTTATTAGAATTCGAGTTTGGTCTTGTCATATTTTCAATTAGACGGGTAACATCATTTGGGCATTCAATGTTTGAATGTAAATTTTCGGTGCGTTGTGCATCTAAAGATTATGATTATTATAAATAATAACTATTTCAAAATAATTATTAATAAACTATTAACTATATATGTAATTATTTGTATGATATATAAAGTCTTGTACATATGTATACATGCATATTGTATGCATGTGCGTAATTATAATATATAAAAACATTTTAATGTTAATTATAGTATATAATGAACAGTATGAAGTACATTATATTTTTTATGTGCACTGGACATCACAGATGCGTGCTTTGCGCGCGTTATTTAACTTTTTATTTTTTATTTTTTTTGCTAATTGTATATAATTATATTATATTAGAATATATTATTAAATTTTTGATACGGCATAACTATTAAAATATCACAATGACAGCTTTTCACGAAGTAAGTGCAATGAGAGAATCAATCGCGGAAAAGACGCACTTCGATAGATGCGAGTATCGATTTAATTGCCTTTTTTTTTAAAGAATTGTTTTTATACAAATGTATTTTGACAAATATATATTACTTACAGGAATCACCTTTGTCCATTGTTTCAGAATAACGGCTGCATGATGGAACAGGATTTATTTGTGTTTTTTGTACATATTTTCCCTTACTATTTTTTACGTACTTGACATCTGTAATCCATATAATGATATTCTATTAATAAAACATTCTATTTTTTAATTTTACCTCTATTTTCTTATACTCTTACTTTTTCGTTCTAGAATCGATTTTTTTTTCAATGTTTCAGTTTCGATTTCATTTCTTGAACAATTAGATGGAACTTTTGGAAGGTTCAATACGAAATCTGACATTTCTAACTCTTCATCTTCATCATGACTGCTTGAATTATCAACCACTTTAGCAGCTCTATGTTTTCTCGATTTTTTTAAATATTCTTCCTGTTCAGTGCAAGAATCTAAATCAGATATCTCTTCGGCTTCTTTCAACTTTCTTCTCGCTAATTCATAGTTAGCTGAAAATAGTATCGTATAAGAAATCATTATTTTTCGTAATAAGAAATAATATGAACATATCAGAATTAGATAAGTTAAATTTATGTTATTACTATATTAAGTTAAAATTAATGCGGCCTATAAAATGAATTTAATTACGTTAAAAGTAATATAAAGATTTATTTAAAATGTTTGATAAAGATAAATAAAAATAAGCAAAAAGTTAATCTTGCAAAGTAATTATTCTATTAAACTATTTTTAAATTTTTTAAATAAAATTACTTGAAACAATAAAACTATTATAAGACGTTAACAATTATAACATATTCCAGTGAGAAATGATCACCAATTTGACATCGATTCGACATCGAATTAAAGACCACTTTTCATTGGAGTATGGAAAAATTGTAACTTAAACAAAAATTAAAGATAATATGATTTAAATAAAAAAACTAATTAAAATTAAATGTTAAGTTATATAAAATTAACTATAAGTAAAGTAACTTTATTTAACTTATAATAAATTAAGTTGTCACATTCTAATCTTGCCACGTGTGTGTGTGTGTGTGTGT